TTAATAGGCGGTGGCTGCCCCAAACAGACCTAAGTTCCATAGAAACAGACTGGCCTATGAAATCTCCTTTCACTTGATATATCCTATAGTGAAATTAAGCCGTGTAATGGGCCCAATGTATCCGATTATATTTGAAGTTTAAACAAATTGGCATATGAAATTTTATTTGAAATATATTCATTTAAAACAAATAAATTAAAATAAACCACTTAAAGTAAATTCAAATAATGAATTTATTTCAAATTAGTTCCAAAGGAGCATATTGACATATAAAATCTAAATTTTCATCTCATTAATCTTTTGTGAAATTAATCAAATTGCATTGGACCAGCTAGTTATGCCTATCGCAAATAAAGCAATTAAATTTTTATTTTTTTTTGTGTGAGTATAGATGCAATAATTTGATTTAATGGACGGTTGGATTTAATTTTAATTTTTTTATTGTTTGATTAGACCTAAGTATAGAATCTCATAGAAAAACCCTAGAAGATCGGATACTAACTCTCTACCTTTGTATTCGGAGACGTTATTCAATTGGAGAGCATACTACTGGCGAGAGAAAAATAGTGTCCAGGAGAAAAGCAGCTGCTCAATTATGCGATGATTTTACATGATAAAAAATAATTAACAAAATATCCATAATGAGGGCAAAAAAATAAAACTGAAGAATTATTGTAGAGGAAAGAGAGAGAGCAGCTGAAGCTGAGCTATAGGGACAGCGAGAGAGAGAGAGACAAGAGAGTTCTTTTTGAAGCCCGCCTACAAACTTCTAATCACACTAGCGCAGCTTGCTCTTTTATCATTTATCGTGTCTGCTTGCCGTGAGAGGCAGCGAGGGCGGAGGGGAAGGGGGAATCTTTGTTTGCTTGCGTTTTTTTGGTCCACTCTTCCTCCAATCAACTATGGATGGGAGAGATCGCTGGGTTTTAGGGCTTTTTATGCTGTGATACAACTCTGGATCTGCTGTTTTCGCTGGTCCATTCGTCTTCTCGCTCGAGTCATCTCTGCTGATTCTCGCTCTGCCATGGTATATGCTTTTGTTCTTCATTGCTAAGACTTTTTACTAACTTATTTTCAGTTGGCGGAAGTAGAGAAGCGATTCGGCCGTGTTTTAACTTTTTGGATTCACTGAAGAATGTTTGAGTTTTGCTTTTGGCCTGGTTGGGCAATGTGAATGGTCCAGCGAGCCATGTTGATGGGTTAGGTGTTTGCGTTGAGAATAGGATATAGGCGCTGTTGTTTCGTTTCCCCTGCACCATTCAAGTTTAGTGCAACAAGTGTGAAATTTTCTTAAGTGCCTGCTTTGGCCGTTTTGGTTCTGAGCGTTTTTTGTCGTTGATGCAAAATGGAAACATCTTCTCTTTCTAGAAATTGGGCATGGTGAAATGTTCTAAAGCTTCAAGCTTTATTCTTGATTTATGACTTCAGCAGGCCTCAATCTAGATAATTTAGAATTGGAAACAACTTTGTTTCAGTTTCCCGCTTTCTATACGTATTTGGAGGCTTTCGTTTTATCTGGATAGATATTTGTGATTATCATTCCATGTTTTCATGTTTGCTAAAGAAATGGACCGTTGTTTCGTGGTTTTTTCCACTGTTTTCAGCCCGAACTGCCACCAAACTTCTTCTATACCCTTCCAAACTCCGTCAACCTCGCGTATTACCTCTTACTTGCTATTCCACAACCACCTCCCTGCAAAATCCGATCCTTAAACACCGTCTAAGAACCTTAGAATGGTGTCAAGCAAGAACGAGGAAAATGATTTGATTTGTTAAAGAATGATCTTTGTCACTTTGTCAAATACAATGCGTAAGGACAATCCACCTAATCCATTTTTTTTTCTTTCCTCATCCAAAGTATTAAATTAATAAGAGATATGGCTTCAAAACTTATTTTTTTGGCCATCGATCCTTTATTGTTCTTAAATTTTATTTTCTTATTGTATAAAAAATTTAATTTTGAACAATTTGTTTATGATATTTATGAGCTAGTAAAATATAAAAGTACTAGCTTTTCAATAATTCGAACTCAAAGTCTATTTTATTTCATTCATAGCAACATTTTGGGACCATCATCTACATCTGATATCTTAGAGGTTTGCATTCCGTATTGATGATTGCAACCATGTGTTATAGTTTTTTTACTAAAAGCCAATATGATGCAAAAACTATTTTTTTTCCACCTTTTCAATAGTGAGTTAGAACTGCTAATGCCAATGATTTTTTAACCTTTTTTTATTCTCATGGTTTCAAGAAATTTTTTTTTGCATTTGTTTCTCTTTTATGTATACTCAATAAAATGGAATGGTTGAATGAATGAATGACCATTTACTTGCTATCATATGAGCACTTTTCTCAAACAAAAATATTCAAAGAAATATTGCGAAGGCTATTTTAATGGCTGCTCACATTATAAATTATTTACCTACTTCGATTCTTGAATTCAGGAGTCCTGCACAAGTTCTAACTACATTCTTCGCACTTCAATATCTCAAAATCTTATTTCCAAGATTTTTGAAATGTTGCTATTGTTATTACATATCTCTAAAATATAGGAAATTGTTGTGAAAAAAACGACGACAAAAGAGAAAAATTGGAGCGAGAAATTCACAAAACAGGAAAAACAGCGGGACACATAAATTTACGTGGTTCGACAAATTGCCTATGTCCACGGAGTTGCAGAAGATTTTATTATTTTGAGGATTACACACCATCGATAGCTTCGACTTTTACAAGAAAAACTTTCTCTTCTTTCCTCTCCTCAACTTCTCTCTCTACCTCTACCCGTGAGCCACACAAGTAGAAGAGCACAAGGGGAGCAGCCAGCCTTTGCGATTCCCCTTCTCCTTTCTCTATCGTGGGCTATAGCCGAAGAACAAAGCCAGGGAGAGCCAAACCTTGCGAGTTTTTTGTTTCCTGTAAACAGTAGACCCCTTTTATTGTATGAAGGAGTAGAGCCACTCAAGAAGAATTAACGCAACGCAACGCCCATTTATGGAAGCTTTAATTTGCGAATCTCAATAGGAGACGGGGCGAGATCCAGAAAAGGAGAGAAGCGAGCTAAACGTCATTAAGGAAATATAAACACAAAAGGAACTTAATTAAAAGCATATTAAGTGACTTCCATATTTGTCGAGACTTCTAATTGAAAATAGTGGACCATGCTCCACTGATATTTTTAACAATTCTCCCACTTGAAGACTGAGACACAAGCTATACGTTCCTTTCCTCAAACGTGATATCCTCCACCTTTGCAATTTAAGACCTCTGTTTTCAAGCTAGAAAATCAATTGAAGTCGAGCACAACTTCAAATTATTCTTTTTACTGATTAGCTTTCACTTCTCGAATTTACATCTTGCAATGTATTTTCATAGCTTTGCGGTTCTCCACTATCTGTCAGCAGAATGTAGTTCAATATCGGTGTGTAATGCCGAGGAGACCGCCTATTCCTGACTAACCCGTGAACTGTAGCTTAGGAGTGGACGGTTCTGAAGCTGACTGCGAAACAATAAGAATAGGTGCCCATGAGCCACTCTCCTCATCACTTCCACCACTTCCCTGCATTGTGACTTCTGGTAGATCAACAAACTTTACCTTTTTACCGTGGCCATCATGAATGTGACACAGTAACGAGAGCCTCTAAGAGATGCTACTGGAGAAGGTCCCCACACATCTGTGTGTTCAAGATCCTGTTTTTCTGCCTTTGGCGCTCTATCACTTTTCAAAAAATTGTTCTTTTTTCTGTTTCTTTATAATGCAACTCCTACACATGTTGAGATTAACTGACTTCAACTCTAGTAGATTGCCTCTGAACTGAGGTTTTTTCATTCCCCTCTGATTCATGTGATCAAACCTGCAATGTCATAAATCTGTCATGTTCTCTGCAACTGTAGTAGCAACAGTATTGAGTAAACCTGTGAATCAGTTTTCTTAGTCCGAGCCAGTACTAATGCTCCTTGGTAACCTTTCATTACACATCATCTCTGCAACTGTAGTAGGAACAATATTGAGTAAACCTGTGAATCAGTTTTCTTACTCCGAGCCAGTACTAATGCTCCTTGGTAACCTTTCAGGTGTTATCGAACCACCCTCATCGAGCTGCCCAACATAAATAAGATTTTTCTTCAACTCTGGAATGTGTCTGACCTTTTGCAAATTTCATTTGCTCTTGTTAGAGAGTACAATATCAATGTCTCTCATCTCCATCACGTTCAGAGCTTCTCCATCAGTTAGATATACCTTTCTAATGTCACCTGCAATATAGTTTTGCATTAATTTTCGGTGGGAAGATGTATGGAAAAAAGTCCCTTATTCCAATTTCCATTCATTAACCGAACTGTGAACTGTCACCAATGGTGCATCATGTACTTTTTCAGTTACAACATTAACACTATCAATCTCCATCTTATTTTGATTTTTGCAGTTCTTTTTTATGTGTCCAGTTTTACCACAATTCCAACACATTTCCTGCTCACCAGACTTTGACTTGCCATTGCCTCTATGCTTTGATTTTGATCTTATTCTGTTTGAGTCCCTGTTCTGCGATTTCCTTTTAGAATTAACATTCATTGATGAACTCGAACCCGAGGTCTTGCCAGAATCATTCCCGCACACCTCTTCTTCCAAAATTAAATCAAGAATATCTTCATATTTCAACTTATATTTACCCGCAAAATTGCTAACTGTCATTCTCATGGCTTCTCAGCTATTTGACAATGAAGCCAACAATATCAATGCATGTATCTCATCATCAAATTCAATTTCAACAGACGATAATTGATTTGTGATAGTATTGAAATCATTCACATGCTGTGTAATAGATGTACCCTCCACCATCTTCAAGTTGAATAACTTTTTCATCACATGCTGTGTAATAGATGTATCCTCCGCCATCTTCAAGTTGAATAACTTTTTCATCAAGTGCACATTGTTATTCACAGATGACTTTTCATACATAGTTGATAAAACTGTCATGAGATCTGCAGTAGTTCTTTTCTTGATGACGTTGTGGGCAATGAATCTCGACAAAGTTAATCGAATAACAAAGCCAGGGAGAGCCGAATCTTGCGAGTTTTTTGTTTCCCGTAAACAGTATACCCCCTTTTATCGCATGGAGTAGAGCCACTCAAGAATAATTAACTCAAAGCCTTCCTTGTAAATCACCAACGCAAGACTCATTTAAGGAAGCTTTAATTTGCGAATCTCAATAGGAGAAGGGGCGGGATTCAGAAAAGGAGAGAAGCGGGATAAACATCATTAAGGAAAGATAAACACAAAAGGAACTTAATTAAAAGCTTATTAAGTGACTTCCATATTTGCCGAGACTTCTAATTGAAAATAGTGAGCCAGGCTCCACCGATATTCTCAACAAAAATTTGATCTAAGAGTAACATTGAGCGTTGATTGGCTATTCTTTTGTAGAAAAAGAGTACAAATGTCTTCTCCCACATAAGTAAGGTGTATGTGGCTACTGATGTTACTTTCGATGGTCTTAATTACTATTATATTATTGTTTACCGGAAAGAAGAAATTCTGTTCACTAATAAATTTTTGCTTCTAGATTGCTCTTCGTTATCTCTTTTTATTCTAAAGCCAATTACTCCTGCAGAAATTGTGGCTATACCAAAACTATCTTTTACTCCACCATTTCAGTTATTAAGGGAGAAAGAAATCTCAGTGATACCGGAGGAGAAAGCCCAAACCACAAAACAACTTTTTTTAACAGGGTGGAGGTTGTTGTGAAGGTGTGGTAGTAATTGGGAGTAGCGGGACAGCGGTTGGGATGGCTGGTTGCTAGGAAAAGTGGAGTGGGAAGCGGTTGGGGATAGCCGGTGGCTAAGGGAAGTGGAGGAGACGGAGTAGGGAAGATAAAATGTGAGATACATTCACCACCTCGGAGTAGGATATAGCCGAAGCATCACCACCTCCTCGGATACAGCCCTAGAACATGGAAGAGGATCCCACACAGAGAATCTGAAATCAACGCATGGCAAAAATTGCCCTAACTTTGTGAAAACAACAATATA